CAAAAAAAAAAAAAAAGAAAAGAAATTCAGAAACACAAATTATTATTCACATTTCTTTGCATTTGCTTGTGGAGGTGGGAGAGGACAATACTCTAGAATTTCAGAAGCTGTAAACTAAAGGCCCTGATGGCCAACACTGCCTCTCTGTGGATTCGGCTCCACGCCTGGACCTGCGGCTCACCTCGTCCAGTTTCTCTGTTTGAGACTTGAGTCGAGTCACTGTCGTTCTGAGCTCTGTATTTTCTTCCTCTAATTGCTGTACCCTGGGGAAAGGAGGAGGACAGAAATTTTGAACTGAGATGATCCCACAAAGGGGCTGGCAAACTGCGGAGATTCCCTGCTTCCTGGAAGAGGGAAGATACCAGAAAACAATGGAGAGAAAAGAGAGAGTTATCCCACCTAATATAGCCTTGAGCTTCCCATCAGTCAAGGCAAAATAGGAAAGACACTACATTATTCTTATTTTTTTTATAAAAGGAAACATTCATTTGTGAACAAGAGCCCAAGATTCTTTTTGCACATGTTGTTCAAATCCTGAGGAACACAGGACATTTTTCTGCTGGATGGAGAAAGTCTGCCTGTGTTGTCTGTGACCAGGACACTCCTGTTCTAACCCACACTGCGAAGGCAATGAGCACATTTGCTTCCCACTCTCCACTGCATCTCATTTGGGGCTCCCCTCTCCACGCCTTCATTGCACTGCCCCTCAAGCCCATGGCATTGGCTGCGCCAGTGATACCCCTCTATGACAGCGTTCCCAAGGGGCTTTCCCATCAGGATCCCATGAGAAGACAGAGCCTGGGTACTCAGGTTGGTTATAAATGACCTAAGAGGAGGAGCAGATAAGCTGGGCTGTCAGCTGAGCAGGGTCATTTCTGGCACTGATTCTTGCAGAGCATTCTCCACCCCCACAGTCACCTCCTCCTTCCTGGGGGGATGCCTTCCGGGTCTCCACTCCCCTCCCCTCCCCTCTGGGCACACAGGAGAGAAGCCCAGGCTGTGGCCAGAGAGGAATCCAGTCCTACCACCCAAAGATGGCCTTGTGGCAGTGGTGAGGAACAAAGCAGGTGGGAAACCACAAGACTCTGGAACACCATCCACACATTCTACATGAATGGCGCCCCCTGGGGTTCTGCAAGGGCATAGGTCAGAAGGCGGTTCCCAAGAACGGGCTTTCTGTGCTTTCTCTGGAGGCCCACAGTCACACTGTCTTCCACCACCCCTTACCCTCCTCCTACTTGTCTCAGCCCCTTCCCTTGGGTCAAGCGTGGGAGGCAGGCTAGTAAGAACAGTCATCCTTAAGGAGCACGCACTAGCCTCCAGAAATACATGCAAGACAGCAGCTTCTGGAGCAAGAGCCATCACACAAAAATGAAAGTTAATAAAGCAGGCCTCAGGCAAAGGGGAGGTGGGAAGTCTCCTCACCAACTGCACAGGGGCTGGGTCACCCCACTCCTGAGGGCTGACCTAGCTGCAGCAGGCAGGGGACACCTGCCTGAGAGCTTAAGGTGTGGGATGAAGGCCCAACTTCCAGCCTTGCAGCCTGCCTGCCCCAGGCTGGGCTTAGCCAACTCCAGGAAGGCCTCAGGGGGCTGGAGAAGGCTGAGGCAGTTGTCCTCTCTGCTGAAGGCCTAGGAGGCCTCCTCAGCTTGGGAAGCATCCCCAGGCAGCACAGGGCACCATCACTGCCCTCGCTGTCTGTGGTGTTCTGATGTGTGTCAGCTCACCCACACAATACTCTCCATCGCTCTGTGGGGCAGTGGAGAGGGGAAACAGTATGCCCAAGGTCTTGGATCTAACAAGGGATCAACCCGGAATCCCAGGCCAGGCTGCTCCTCACCCTGCCTGCCTCAGATTTCTTTTTTTTTTTTTTTTTTT